GAAACATTTTGTGATAATTTTTTGAGATATTAATATATCTAACTTAGCAGGAAGTCTTTTTTTAAAAACAAAAAAAATAAAGAAAATCTACTCCAGTACTGGACTCCACCTTAAAAAAAAAAAAGAAATGGATTGCCTCAGTGAGAATCGAGACCTCAAACACAAATATAATCATCTCACATCTTAAATCACCTAGACCATCCAACTCAGCCATCTCATCTTTAGTGGACCCTGTTTTAATGTGGATAAAATCACTCTCCCGGTTAAAAATCTTTTGGTGAGAATTAATCTTATATTTACTTTAATATACCTATGTAAATCAACCATGAATTATAAATATGTATATCTATAAATTTGTACAGTAGTGTTTAAAAATATATTATTTTTTTAAAAAGATCATATAGTATATTTTTATAGTTATGAAAAATAGTAAAAATGATTAAAAACAGAAAAAAAATTAAATAAAAAGTGAAAAGCGTCCGTTTTGTTAATTTTACAAATTTTTGGCGTCATTTTTATAATTTTTAAAATTATTACGGTATTTTTGTAATTAAAAATAACAGAATTCCATAATTTAAACGAAAACTAGCAAATTGGACAAAATCGGCTAACGCTTGGATAGTTTAAGGTAATATTGGCTATCCGAAAAAGAATATGGTAGAATTGACAATACATGTAAATGTTTGGGTAGATCAGCTAATTTTTCCTAAGAAAAGAGGTTGAAACCTAAGCATAAAAGATTATAACACTACGTGAATATGTAACACTAATTATATCGTGTTCTAATTATTGTTGCACCTTGTCAGAAATAAAATTGACCTCCCTGTAGACATGTTTCCGTCTCACAAGCCACTGCATAGCTCCTTGACTATTGACTTCGGTAACCAAAGCGACAGATAACCCAACTCCCGTGCTAGCTGGAGATCATAGAAATGGAATAATAGCTCATAAATCCGAGATGGTTATTATAACAAAGTCGATGCCCAAAACGAACCCTTCTGCATTAGGATATCTTGGGCATACAAGGCCACCGATTCCAGAGACACAATCAAATAGAGATGTTCTTTTGAAGAAAACCGACCCGAACCGAATTGATCTGAACCAAACCGTTATTTTAGATCGGTTCAGAAACAGGTCAGCTTCTTTAGGATCACAAATAGTTTCGGTTCGGTTCGGGTTAAGTTTCGGTTCTGGATCGTATTGATCCGAAATGAACCGTTTTGCTAGTGATGACGACATAAAAAATGACAATGACGTCATCACGCCGAAACTGGTCATTGACCGTTGGGAAAAATAATATTCACGGCGATTTCGCCGGAATTTTGGTCGGAAATTGTCGCCGGCTGCAACCGGTGGCGGTGGTCAAAGGTGGTTGGCGGCGGTCAACGATGACAATATTAAAATATAATTGTTTACTTTTTAGTTTCGGGTTTATTCGATTCAATTTAGATATTCTTTTAACCCGAACCGATCCTAATCATTCCACCTTTTAAAATCTTTGATCCGAATCGAAATTAAGATTTCGATTAGGTTCGGTTCGGTTCAAATCGTCGGTTCGACTCGAACCGCGGTTCAAAAAGACCAGCCCCACGATCAAAGGCTTTATCTAATCATTCGTATCTCCCTCTATTCCCATCCCACCGAGCTTCTTCTCACTCTGGATTTCCCCTTAAGCGCTCAAGAACAAAAAATTCCTTCTCTGAAAATATTTTTACATTCTTGCCATTTCATATCCACTGTAGTTCAACACCAGAGACACAATCCTAACTATAAAACTCCCATATCTACAAAGTGTGTGAGATTTTTCCAAAACCAATCCTTTAAATCCCATACTCTCTTCCAGCTTTTATAATATATATATATATAATAGGGACGATATCACAAGGAAAAGTAATAATTTAATTTGGCTATCGTTAAGTATATATACAATAGTAGGTCCTAACCCAAAAATTTGAGTTTTTGAGGTAAAAAATGGTTTAGAAATGGTAATAGAGAGAAATATAGGTCGAATTTTGGAGAAGAGAAAAATACCGGGATCGGATTTTCAAAATCCGACCTTCGCCTTAAATCGGATTTCACAAATCCGACTTTATGTTAACATCAAAAACTAATTAACTTAATCAGGATTAAAGGAAACTCGGATTTTCTAAATCCGACTATAAAAAATAATATCTGGAAAAAATTTAAGCTTTTTTCCCGAAAATAAAATTTTGATAAAAGTCGGATTTCAAAACTCCGAGTTTTACCATTAAAATAATATTTTGTGGAGAAAAAACTTAATTTTTTTTGGCGAAATTGTTTTTGCCTAAGGTCGGATTTTGAAAATCAGAACTTCCACCAAGATTTTTTTTTTTTAAAAAAAAGAGAAACTAATTTTCAAACCAGTCCAAATATGTCACAACAATAACAAAAATTATTTTTCATCCATATAAATATGAAAAACAATAATTAGTTTTGTTTTGACTAAGTTCCGATTTGCTAAATCTGACATTAAACAGAATTTTTTTAAACAAATAGACTGTGTGTAAAACCAAAATTGATAATGATATCTCAAATTTATAATTCTTACAGTGCTCATACCCACACAAGGCACATTAGGAGCCTCGGGATGGAAGAAAAAAATTTGGATTCCAAAAATCCGACATAATAAACTAAAATTGAATTTCGGGAATCCAACTTTCAAGCTAACTCGGATATTAAAAATCTGAAATTTCTTAAACAAGTTTAGGTTTTAGGGTTTAATTCGGATTTTTGAAATCCGAGTTATTGGTAAAATTGATTTTCAAGAATCCAATTTTTTTAACTAACTCGGATATTGAGAATTCGAAATTCCTTAGACAAGTTTAGGGTATAACTCGGATTTAAAAAATCTGACTTACTCCTAAATTCGGATTTCAAAAATCCAAATTTTCTTTTATCTCGGATTTTGGAAATCCAATTTTTTTCTTAAATCGGATTTGTGGAATCTGTTTTAACCTCAAATTCCGAATTTGTTTATAAATTCGCTTTGACTAAAAATTCATATTTCAAATATGATATTATGTCAATATAATTTTCAAAATAGATGTATCAATTTTAATGTTGTGTGGTATTGTATAACATTAGTACGTGTGTTTAATTAATGAGTAACAGAGTTAACAACACTTTCTAACATTATTACATTTGATATGTAATGAGTAACAGGAAAATTGTAATCGATAACAATATTGATGATAATAATCTGTAACAGTATTAATAATAATATGTAGCAGTACTACATATGATATCTAATCTATAACAATATTAATAGTATTATGCCACACTAGTTTAGATGATAACTAACGAGTAACAATATTAATAGTCCCTAAAAAACAATATTAATAGTAATGTGTATCAATAGTAACGATAATACGTAATAGGTAACAATATTAATGGTAGTAATGTGTAACAATGTTAATAATAATACGTAGTACTAGTACATGTAATATCTGATATGTAACAATGTTAAACAATGTTAATAATAATAAGTAATACTAGTATATATGTGATACTTAAGTTGTAATAGTATTAATGATACTACGTAACACTAATCTAGATAATATCTAATGACTAATAGATTTAACATTAATAAGTAATACTACTACCAGTGATATATAGTGGGTAATAGTATTAATGTACTAAATAATACTAGTGCGTATGAATAGTACATAACACTAGCACAGATGAATTATAATGAATTAATTTAATACAAATTCCTAACAGTTTTAATAGTACTACACAACGCTAGCAATATATTTTTTCATCAATTTAATCAAATTCCTAGTAATTATTAGTAATATACGATTTTATTATTATCATATCTAAAACAATATTGAGTAACAGAGTTAACAACGCTTTCTAACATTAGTAAATTTGATATGTAATGAGTAACAAACAAATTGTAATCGATAACAATATTAATGATAATAATCTGTACCAGTATTAATAATAATATGTAACAGTAATACATATGATATCTAATGTATAACAGAATTAATAGTATTATGTCATACTAGTTCAGATGATAACTAACGAGAAACAGTATTAATAGTCCCTAAAAGAACAATATTAATAGTAATGTGTATTAATAGTAACAATAATACGTAATAGGTAAAAATATTAATGGCAGTAATGTGTAACAATGTTAATGATAATACATAGTACTAGTACATGTAATATCTGATATGTAAACAGTTTTAATAGTACCACACAACACTAGTAATATTTTTTTTTCATCAATTTAATGCAAATTTTTTGTTAGTAATATAAGATTTTATTATTATCATATCTAATACAATTTGTTTTTATTTTTATTTTTTTAAAAGTGGATAGGTCTTTTAATGTGAATTCCTATCAAAACTCGAACAAATTTTTAAAGTTTTATGCACTTAAAGATTTTTTTTTAATAAAAAGTAGTTTGGATTTTCGAAATCTGATTTTACTGTTCATTTATTAAATTTTCAAACTTTCCAACCATAATAAATTTTTAAATTTTTCCGCCCTTCAATTTTTTTTTTTAAAAAAAACAAGGTTGGATTTTTTAAATCTGAATTTGCATTGTTCATTATTTGACTATTATTTTAATTTTTTCACATGTATTTTTCAAAAAAAAATTATTATTTATTATGTCAGATTTTGAAAATCCGATTTACTAATTTAATTAGTAGTTCGGATTTTAAAAATCCGATCTCTGTAATTTTCTTTAAAAAAAACGACCAATATATCTCTCTACTTCTTTTTCTAGGTAATTTTTTAACCAAAGCACCCCATAAAATTTTTTCACGTTGCACTGAGAACACACAAATTAATTGTATCTTCACCAGCTAGCGCGCGTCATGTTGCACATGGCATAACCTTACGTAATGAAGATGTATCTGCTCGGCGAAAACACGATAAAAACAATTGTTTGCTTATCCCGGACATTCAACCATGTTTCTTAACGTAGCTTCATATTCAATCAAAAGCAGTACGTATCAATGTTTCTTGAAACCATTGGTTGGTATACGAGGTAGGAGGCAAGAAACTTACAATACAAACGTAACAAATCAAATCCGTCTCATGATCATTATTAACTAATTATTTGAAGTCACTTGAAAAAAATCCAGGCGCTGCAATTGAAAGCAAGTCATCTGAAAATAAAGCCACCTCATCTTCTGACATGGTAACCCACGCTTCTATTCCTTCCTCATCCTTTGTGCTAATTAAGATGATCATGCTGCTATTTGAGATATCCACAGGGCCGACTGAAACAGGTTTACCCCAACCAAAGTCCGTTTCACAAATCGGGAATCTGCAATAACTGCTAAACCGCGTCTCATGAATCGCCATGTTCCATGTTGGTTGTTGTGATACTCGTTCTAGTCCACGAGTAGCAATGATTTTGAACAGAGGCACTGCACGATTGACTACATAGTCTTCATTCACTTTACTCAATGCATCACCCATGAGCCTAAAAAGATCACCATAAAAATCAGTCTGCAGATTCTGATTGAGAGTGAATGAAATAAACACAGGAACCATAATGTTGCCGAAAGCAAACTCATTAGATGAAAGGGTCTGCAAGTTTCCAATTCGGCTTCTCAAGTTCACTGTATGCGAAGCTTTGAATAACGAAACATTAGCTCCGCCAGCTTGGTTGTTTTTTGCCACTGCCACATTGATAAATTGCTTCCATAGGAAAGCGGAAACAACTTTAACCCGGGTCAGGTCCTCTGGTACTATTGGTAATGTTGATGACGACGAGGAAGAAGAAATCAAGATTTGTTTTAGTTCTGTTATCTTTTCCTTATTGAACACGAACCGCTTGCACACCATCTTTCCTTCATTATTTGTATGTTTAGGCCGTTCAGCCCTAACAGCATTGTGTAACGGAGGAAAAATGCGCGTCCCATAATCAAAAACGGGTACCTTCATCAACAAGTCTGATTTGCTGGTATTCTCACCTCGATTCATGGCCGCCCACGAATTCATAAACGCGATCAAGGACATAAAATCGGCTACCTTGTGGGAAATGCATGCCCCAATGGAAGCTCCTCCGCATCTAAACCAAGTGATTTGAACTGCAAATAGTATGTCTCCTTTTCCGCAGTTAGCATCAAATGGTACTGCTTTAGAATCGTCATTTCCCCCACGAATGTATGTCTCAGATGGCATGTATTGCGAAAATCTTTCGAATGGGGCATTTTGAACGGCTTGTGAGAGGGTAGCATCAACATTGGCTTCCACAAACAGTACTCCGGAGTCATCACAATCAACGGAGTGATGATCTGGACTTAGCTTTCCAGCTAAAGGGTAGAACTTGGTTAAAGTCTCCGACAAAGATTTCTTCAATTGGGCGGTTGTTTTGGAAGGATCAACACTGGGTTGTCGCTGTTTTTCGTAAACAAAAAGAAAACGAACGAAAAAATGCGGTATGATCTGATCTAGAAGAGATAGTTCAAGTGTTTTACTATCTTGTGGGGTTGGAGATGAAGGTTTTATCAACTCCTTCGATATTACATCCATCTTGGCTTCCATATTTCCCTCTCTATATCTTAACTTACATGCCACAGAATTCAACAGCTATTCGCATATATATTATACTCCTTTCGTTACAAAATTATTGTCCAGTTTGAGTTTTTATTTTTAGTTTAAATTGTACTAAAAGTGAAATCTCAACTGGATGATAATTTTGGGACAGAGAGAATATACACATATATACACACACAATGAAAACGTAGTTAATGATATTTTGGTGCATTCAGCCTGCAGGTTGACTTACGGAAATTACATGGAAGCCGAACAGTCAATGTATTAAGCTGTATTGTACCGGCTGATTTCCAGGAATGCACTAAACGATTCGTATTCCCTCCTGTCTCCATTTTCGATCAGCTCAAAAGTCAAAATGGATGGATCGATCTGCCCTGGACACATGCAACGGAATCAGTGGACGCCAATTAATTAAACCCAGAGTCTGTAATAAAATCTTCTTCTGCTTGATTGATTAGAAACATTAAGCTTGCACGATTTCAGGAAGTGGGACGTCGATCGATCCAGATCATCGATTCGATTCTCTCTAACCCACATGATCCACGTGTGCTAACGTGAAAGCTAGCTGTTGAAGTATTAAATGTAATGAATCCAATCTAATCGGTTCGTTCTAATTTGTCAAGTTCAGGAGAACACGCTTTCTCTCGCTTATGGAAGCTCCTGAGCAAATGAGCTCAAAATAAATATCAAAGAATTATTAATTGTGATTCCACAACTCAATCCCTATTTGACCGTCTGAATATCTAGATAAGAAGCAATTTTCAAGTGGTTTTGAGAAAAAGTAGTATTGGCTTGCGCCGCAGCTTTTACCCACTAATAGCTATATATGGCCACTGCCGGAAACCACAACCATGAAAACGCCGTCACCGTGCTGATGGTTCCTCTTCCGGCGCAGGGGCATCTGAACCAGCTCCTCCATCTCTCCCGCTTAATCTCATCTTATAACATCCCGGTTTATTACGTGAGCACTCCGGCTCACGTACGCCAGGCAAAGCTTCGTATCCATGGCTGGAATCCTGACTCCATTTCCAACTTTCACTTCCACGGATTTCCCGTCCCTCCCTATGAAATCCCTCCTCCAGATCCAAATGCCTCCACTAAATTACCTACGCATCAGACTCCAGCCCTTCTTTCCACAGTTCACCTTCGGGATCCAGTCTTTCAACTCATGCAAACATTGTCCAATACAACCAAAAGATTAGTAGTAATTCACGATGTCTCCATGTCATACGTTATCCAAGACATCGGTTTTGTTCCAAACGGAGAATCCTACACCTTTTCGCCATCCTCTGCGTTAAGCAGTTACTCCAATCTGTGGCAACTTGGTGGGAAACCCGAAGGAGTGCCTGAACAGCAACTGCTCCAACTCCTGCCAAAGTTTAAATTCCGACAAGAAACCAAAGAATTTGCGCTATTACAACTTGGAGCAAAAATTACCAGCTCTGGAACCCTTATCAACTCATGCGCAGCAATAGACGGTCCTTTTCTCAATTACCGTGCTATGTTCAAAAGTTTTGGCTCCGATAAGGTCTGGGCAGTTGGTCCATTGAATCCTGTTCAATATGTACGGGTGAAAGATGATGACGTCCAGCAAGGGCAGCATTACTGTCTTGACTGGCTCAATGAGCAATCTTCCAATTCAGTTATATTCGTGTCGTTTGGTTCCTCCATTACGCTTTCAGATGAAGAGATCAAAGAGACGGCGATCGGGCTCGAAAAGAGCGGGCAAAAGTTCGTATGGGTTCTTAGGGATGCTGATAAAGGTGATTTGTCTAATGAGGAAGGTGGTGGTGATCTGGTTAAAGAAGTGAGGGAAGTTCAATGGCCGGAAGGGTTTGAGAATAAAATTAAAGAAACAAACAGAGGAATTGTTGTGAGGGATTGGGCGCCTCAATTGGAAATTCTTTCACATTCATCAATTGGTGGATTCTTGAGTCATTGTGGATGGAATTCATGCATTGAAAGCCTTAGTCACGGTGTCCCAATTGCTGCTTGGCCTATGCACTCGGACCAGCCGGCAAATGCTATGTTATTGACAAAGGTGCTCAATGTTGGTCTGCTGGTCCTGCCGGAATTTTTTTCATCAGATCCTCAAGCTGAAGAAATTCAGGTGACATCAAAAGACATCGAAAATGCTGTGAGAACGCTGATGGATTCTGCGGAGGGAGAGCAGATGAGGCAAAGGGCACAAGAAGTGAGTAAAGCATTGAAAGCATCTCTTACGGACAATGGAACTCCATCGGGGGTAGATTCTTTTGTTGCTCATATTCGCAGATAATTTTTGTTTTTAATGTCCCAATGCTTGTTTTCGGCTGAATTTAAGGCGCCTCGATCATTGATGAGTAGGTATGCCATTGAGTGTATAACGCGATGCTGTGTGATAATTTCAATGCTTGATTAGTCGTTAAGTAAATTGAAATTGCTTCAAAATCTAGTTTAATCCTTATCTTAGACGAACATACTATGTCCCCGTCAGGAATCCTATAGACGATTTTTATTAATAATCGCAAATTAAAATTACACGTTTTTCAATAAATGAATAAAATTACTGTAACCGTTGCCAAATGATTGTCTATTTTGAAATTTACTTTTAATAGAAATTGTACTAAAAATAAAAAATTTAAAATGGAAAAATATTTTAAAATACACGGAGTACTATCTCTGTAAATCATTCCCACTCACATCATTAATATAGGATATCCGTGATTAATACATTTAAAATAATTTAGATCAATTTATCTATTACTCCCTCCATTCTTATATATGTATATGTGTGTTGTTTTAGGGTTTATAAAATTTTTTACACTATATATCATTTTATAAAATTGAGAAAAAATTTTATCCTATGTTTTCAATATTACCCTTGAATTAGAAATGAAATGGTATTTAAAATAAAATTATATTTGTTGGCAATGAGTTCTATGAATATATAAATAAGAGTAATGGTGTATTTTAAACATATTATTTAATGTTTCATTGATACTGATGAAATTGCTAAAAATATATATATTTTAGAATGGAGGAAGTATCAACTAATTTTGAGTTGAAAATATAAATTTTAATGTCGTAGCAGAGCCTCACTTATGAGTGAAACTCCAAACTAAATATAATACAAATATTAGTGATCGAGCAAAAATTACTAATCTAAATCATAAAAAATGCTAAAACTCGTTAAAACCCAAAATATTCAAACGTTGGGGCTCTTAAAATCAGCCTCAAATCATAGATGGAGGACTTACGATTCAACACAAAAACAGTAGGGAATACAACAAAAAAAAAAAGCCATAACTATATAAATTCGTGTGAATAGACCCTAGAAAATAATTTAGCTATACATGCTCAGAAAATTAAACACAAAAGCAATGAAGTAAAAAGTATCTAACATCATTACAACACTTAAGAAAGAACAAGAGTAAAGGGGAACTCAGGAATGTAGTTTGCTCTGTCTAGGTGTCTTCCGCAAGTCAGCTTATCGCTTCCTAGAGTGTCAGCTCAAGTGCCCTCATTCTGCAGATTTGTTATTCGCCCTTTTCAATTTGTCTAAAGCTAACTCCTCTCATCCTTCCAATCTGATCTCTTTTTTTTTATGACTCTAAGTACATTCTCCTTTTGCATGATTTGTGCTTGCTTTTCCAAGGAGTCAAACCTACCTTTTGCATTAGTCTTTTTTTCAACTTTTTGAACCATGCTTTGGGTTGTACTTGTTGTCTCATTATCACATTTTTTATATTGCTTTTTACTCGCAAAATCCAGCAACGTGCTTTTGTGTATTCAGCCTGGTCACATCAGCTTCTTCCTTTTCTGGCCGGGTCTAATGATCACCATCCCTCCTTACGGCAATTTATTGGGTCCACCCGAAACCACCGAGGTCCTCTTCTTTTTTTTTCACATATAATTAGAACACAAATTATATATGAAATTTATAGTGCTCGACGATATCTATCCGTCAAGATCAATGTTTAATAATTTTTTATTAAAATAAAAAAATAAAATATTTCGGGCAAAAACGAAGAATTTTTATCTTGGATAGTCAGTACAAAGACGTTGGATAAGCACTTGGAAATCGGTAGATAGGCGGCGGCCTGATTCAAATTCACTCTCACATTTTTTGCTGATGAAAATAGGTACATTCAAAGGCAATGGATAAACACTGCAAAACCAATAGATTGCCGCCGCGATTTGGAGAAGCAGTAAAAATGATTGGATAAGCAGTACAAACCGGTTGGATAATCGGTTTAGAAAAAACGGACAAGGATGTTAAAAAAATAAAAACAAAAAAAAGTTGGAGAAGCAGTGCAAACACTGTTGGCTCGATAATCGGTACGAGACAATTGGAGAACCATTTTTTCAAAAAAAAAATGATTGAATAAGCATTACAAGCCATTTTGATAATCAGTGGACATAACTGGATAAACAGTACAAACTGGTTGGATAATCAGTATAAAAAAATTGGACAATCATCTTTATAAAAAAGCAAGCAAAAAAAAAATCGGATAACTATCACGAAGAAGTTGGAATGTTGGATACTCAGTATGAACATACACATATATTGGACAAACATTTTCTCAAAAAAAAGGAAAGAAGAAAAAATGATCGGACAAACAGTACAAACCTTGTTTGGATAAGCAGTGAAAATAATTGGATAACCAATACAAAATGGTTGAATAGTCAGTACAAACAAGTTGGACAAGGATTTTCATAAAAACTAAAATGAAAAGAACGGCTGGAGAAGGGAAAAAATGGCCAGATAAATAGTACCATTTAATTGGATAATCAGTATTAAGATATTGGACGACCACTCTTTACAAAATAAACGATTGGATAAACAGTACAAATATAATGGATAATCAATAGAATTAAAGACGTTGAATAAATACAAAAGAAATAAATAAATGGGTAGGCGTCTCGATTTAAACTCTCTTTTACATTCCCTCCTCTTCTTCAAAAAAAAAATCAAATATTTGGATAAGCATTACAAACAATTTGGATAATTAGTAAAAATAATTGGATAAACAGTACAAACTGGTTGGATAATCAGTAAAAAAAAATGGACAATCATTTTCATAAAAAATAAGAAAAAAAAGTTGGATAATCATCATCAAGAAGTTGGATAATCGGTAAGAACACATAAGACAAATATTTTCTCAAAAAAAAGGAAAAGAAATTCTGTTTGGATAACGGTTGGATAGCTGGTACAAAAAAAATAGACAAGGACTTTCGCAAAAAGTAAAGAAAAAAAATGGTTGGATGATCTATACCAAGCAGTTGGATAATCATTATGAACACGTTGGATAACTATTTTTTTCAAAAAATAAAAATCAAAAGAAAAACTAGGTTGGATAAGCAGTACTAAATAGGGCCTGTTTGATAAAAACTAACGTTTAATTCTGAATGTTTAATACTGAATTTGAAATACTGAATTCATGAATCAGTTACGGAATAAACAATAAGCAAACTTTTATTGCTTATAGTTTGTACTGCAGTTTCAACACCACTTAATTTATTAAGAGGTTCATTTTTTTTTTTAGAGAAATCCAGGGCAGTACCTGGCGGGAGGACCCCGATTTTATTAATATAAGAAAAAAAATTACACAAGGCAGTACTTAAGACTTGCCCAAACGGAAATGGAGACCGACTTACAAAAGTTTTTCTGAAAAACTTCATGACGGCTCCTATGCAATTACAACTATGAATTGCCTTACAAAGATATTGCAATATCCCTTACAATTCCTTTTTTAATTTAATTTCTAGAACCTAGGAGAATGTCTTACAAAGATTCTACATAAATCCCCTGACATCTACATCTAATCTAAAGAGATGATATTAAACATATCTAATTCTAATGTAAACAAAAGATCACTTATCGAGATACCATTTGCCTATCAAAGAGGCTGGTAACTGTTCTTTATTGTCATACTGAAAAGTTGATCCTTGTGATGCCATTTTAGCAAGTTCATCTGTCATGCCGTTGACCTCTCTGAATACATGAATGATTTTTGAATGAGAGAGAAAAAGCATACTTTGAATTTCCTTGAGCATATAATGATGCTTCCATGGATAACACTTATTTTGTTGTAGCAAGTTGACTATCGCTAAATTGTCTGATCGAACGACCACTCGAGATATTCTTTTCTCCATGCAGTATTGAAGACCGTTGCTGATTGTTGCTAATTCTACTTCAAAACTTGTCGCTATTCCTATGTACTGGCACCCCGCTCAGATGAAAAGGTTCACTTTTTATTATCAAACATGTTAAAATAAAAAAAATACTTAATTCAATAATTTTAAGCATTAAGTGCCTTTATCAAACAGGCCCTTAGTTGGATAATCAATATTAATATATTGGACAATGATTTTCTGAAAAAAAAAGATTGGATAACCACTACAAATGAAATGGATAATCAGTTCAAACAGATCGGATAATCAGTATGTACACAATAGATAACCATTTTAAGAAAAAACTGATTGGATAAGCAATACCAATTAGTTGGATAACTAGTACAAACATATCGGATAATTATTTTCATAAAAATTTTAAAAATAGCTGAAGAAACAATAGCACGAGATTGGATAATCAGTAGGAACACATTGAACAAGTATTTTCTCAAAAGAAAAAAATGATTGGACAAGTAATACAAACTTATTTTGACAAGTAGTAAAAATAATTGGATAAACAATACAAAATGATTGGATAATCACTATGAACACATTGGACAACTGTGTTCCAAAGAAAAATGATTGGATAAGCGGTATAAACAAAATGAATAAACACTATGAACACAGTGGACAACCATTTTCTAAAAAACAAATGATTGGATAACCTGTACAAACATAATGGATAATCAGTTCAAACCGGTTGGATAATCAGTATATACACAATGGATAAGTGCTTTGAAAATATCTATATTCGATATGGATCTTGTTGGATAGATCTCATCGAGTACTATTAATTTCATATGTAATTCGTTTTCTAATTCTCACGAATTATGAGATATGCTCATTTGAATATTAGAGACATTTTATGAGGAGAGAAAAAAAAATGATATGGACTAAACTTGTAAAATATAAGAAAATTAAGAAAAATTACAATAAAAATCATATGTACAAAAAATAGGAGGGGGACCATGGTACACCCGGGTGGACTCCCTCACATCTTAGCCAAATCACTATTTTTCGTTTTTTGCACCCTTTTGCCCACCTTTTATTTTTCTTTGCAATTAAGTCCTTTATTCACCCAAAAACACAAAACTAATTTATAAATAAAAAAAATCCTAATTAACTATTATAATTTACAAGTAAAAATAGGTTAATGTGAATTATTGTTCATATGCATTTTTGAAACTTTCAGGTTTCAAAACATAGCAGCAAATCTGGAATGGATCCAAAGCT